CCCCCCCCCCCCCCGCTTTAATTTCTACTGTCTTCGTCTCAAATCTCATTAATTATTTTTACAGTTCATATTCAACTTTTGATGACATGGAGGTGTTTTTACATGGTCTTGGTCTAGAACACATAATAGGATTATTGAAGGTAAGTTTGTGGTCTATCTGCTATCTGTAAAGTAATCCATGAAAGCAAAATGCACCTACAGCATCAAAAAAGTTCTGTCCCTATTAGCACATTAATTGAAATAAATTTATTAATTTAATTGAAATAAATTTATTAGACATATATAAACTGTTAAGTTAAACTGCAGTGGACTGGATTGCATTGCTTAATTTTGATCACGTGCATTAGTCACAACATACGATGTTTCTAAACTCAAGAACACTTTTGTTACTTCAGTAATGGTGTTATGTAGCTGGTTTGGTTTCTGAAAACTGAAGTACAACATAAGTAAAAAAATTATGTGAAAACAGTGTTTTCTTCTGAAATTCTTTTTGATGGCAAAAACCTTTTGTTTTATACAGGAAAGAGATATAACTTTAAGACAACTTCTGATCATGCAAAAAGATGAGTTAATACAGGTCAGTTTACTACTTTAGAACTTAAGTTCTCTTCTCTTTTGTAAATGTTTTTAATGTCTTCTCTTTATACTTCTCTTTATACTTTTTAACTGTCTAAACTTGTAAGAATTCTTAAAAAAAAAAGATCTGTTTTCAGGATCTTCTGCAACTTCCTGATCTATGGTGGGACTTGATGATCTATGGTTGGACTTGATGATCTTAAAGGTCTTTTCCAACCTTAATGATTCTGTGGTAATGATTCTGTGAATTTTAATGTGAATTTAGACAGACCTTTTCTAAAGTATGTAATCCCACAGATCAGCCTTGAATTCTGTGAGTTGAGTTCTTGCATCTTCTCTGCCTAGATCTGACTATGAAGTGGAAGTCCCCAGTATTTCTTGGGGTGAGCAGGAAATAGTTCTGTTTTAAATTTTAGTTGCTACCATTTTTAGTATTTAAGTATGTTTTCCCTGAAAGGAAATCAGTGCTAGGATTAGCAGTAGATAATCCTAAACAACTGCTTTAAATGTGGCCTCCTTTGTGAGGTGGTAATTTCTGTTGGGAAAACAAGAGCTCTCTTACGTTGTGGAATCTCATATGCCAGACAAGTTTGTGTTGGATATGAGGGGGGAAAAAAAAAAAGAGGAGGAGAGAAGATTTGGTTTCTTACAGTTTACTGTAGCTAGGAAGGCTGGAATTTCAGTGTTACCCAGGAGTAAGTGATGCATTATTTTACTGGGTTTCAGTTTCCAGTTGAGATAGGGTGGTTGCTTTTCCTTGGTCTTTGCTGGAATTATTCCTGTGGGAAATGAAAGACTTCCTGTGCTTACAGGAGTCTCCTTGGAATGATGTAAGTACTTCAGGCCGCACAATTCTTGTGAGCACTTGGTACCTGGTCTGGGATACCAAAGATACCTTGTTAAGATAGCTGCTTCAAGCCTGCTACTACTGATGTCCTCATGTCAGCTTTTTTACCCCTATTCTGATACCAAGGAGGCATGTGTTTTAACAACTGGAACCAACGTTTGCATACAGATTTAATATTCCTTCAGAGTTGGTGTCACAAGAATGTTTTGCGTCAAGTTTTGTCTTGTACTGGGTAGAGTTTCAGTGTTTTGACAGAGCTCAGAAGTAATTCTGTATTCTCAGAGGGGCCACGTATAGCAAGCTTTGTCGATGATGAGATTTTTGACAGTTCACTTAGACCTAAATTTTAGAAGGCGTGCCAGCGTGTTCTGATTTTATTGCTTTTCTGAAGCCTCGGGATTGTGCTCATTGGACAGCATCCTGGTGTGGGCTTTTTATGAATCCTAAAGCCCCCGTTGATGGGAATTTTCCTCTTAAAGGAGATTTTTGTGGCTTTCTTCTCATCACGGTGTGAGCTGCTGTCCTGGACGTGATTGCATTAATCTGTAAATCTGAGTATATGTTCATATTGATCGCCTGTTTTGATGTTGTAATCGTTACTTGTTTTTGCCTAGGGGACACTGGGGGAAGGGGAGAGAATTGTGGACTTTAGTTCACAATTATACACAATATTTGGTTCCTTCACCAAAGAGGTATAATTTCACACAAACTGATAACTTCTCTTTCAGTGTTCTAACACATTTGGGGCTCCCTATAATGAGGGCTTTTTTGGACAAACTGAAATAAATACCTCTATCAACTGCTATTGCACGGGAAGATAGCATCTATAGGAACAGAATTTTTTTGCCTCTTAGCTCTGCAACAGAATGAAACAATTCCTGGAAAATAAGTTGTGCTTTGTACATGGACATAAATTAATTAGTGAGTCTTCAGTTGAGATTTTAAAAAATGGCAATAACACTCCTGGCTTATTAGCACTTCATAAATTATCCTAAATTCCTGATGCAGTCTAGTTGTAGAGCTCTATGAACAGTTTCTCCCCACACTGCTGATAGAACAAATCTAATCTGTTTTCTTGTAACTCCAGAGTTGGAAGTTTTTAGTGTGATGGCAGATCTTCAGCTAACAGCCATCTCTTTTAAACACGCTGGATCTTATTACTACAAAGATTAATGATGACCTCTGATGGATGCCTCTGAACCAAGCTGCTTTGTATCCAGAGAGCTGGGAAGAAATCCTGTCACTAACACGATACACTTTCCTCCATCAAACAATATCAGAAAGATATTTTCTCTGTAAATACCTTTATCTGTATTCTACAACAGCCTAAACAATAACTCTTTCAAGCTGAAATCCTTGCATTCCTTAAGCTTATAAACTCCCATACTGAAACAAGTCTGTTCAACATACTGGGACATATCTATTCAACATTTGGAGGCTTTTGTCTGATTCTATGCTACTCATAACACTTAGATCTTTTTTGTCTGGCTTTTTTGAGCATTTGTCTCACAAGATAGCAACAGAAGTAATTTTACTTCTTGATGAATTTAGGACTAAGATGCTTCCTTTCTCACGTGTTTATTAGTTTAGAATAAAAGAAATTGGCATCCAGTTCTGGATTTGAGAATGTATAATGAAAAGTTGACACATCAAAATTCAAAATATAACCCAGGAGTTTAATTTCATTGTTGGAGAATTATCTGGTCTCTGTGCTTCCTTATCACAGTTCCAAGACTCTCCTTCCTCTGCACCCCCTTCCTGCAAAAAAAAGTATTTAATATTTGGCAGAAAATTGTCATGTTATTAAAAATAGTGGCCACTTAGGCAAGGTGGCAAGGAAGTAAGAGTTCATGCATAACCTCACTGGTTTTATCTGAGAAGTATGTAGTCTTCCATGTGTTGAGGCAATCTGTTATTCATCTCTTCTTTTGTTTCCATCTAATGGATGACAGAAAAGTCATGTTGATGCTGGAGTCATGAGTTTGGGGCATGGATTTTAAGGGGTTGGGGTTTTGTTATTTATTGGATTTATTTAGTAAAGAATAAAATAGATGTTGTTAGAGTTGAAGTGCTCAAAAATCAAAATCTAGACTGTACTTTGTCTCGTGTACAGATACAAGGAAGTTCTTGTACAATGCTTGTACATGCTTAAACATATGACCACTTCACAATAATATTTGCATTATTTGGATCACAGAGTGTAATTGAACCAACACCAAGTTAAAAGCTTGCTTACCCATAAGGAAGAAGGGCTTTTTGCACTGTGTTTGTTCCATGCATTCATCATTGCATGAATAGTCAAGTTCTGGGTAATCCTCATGTTCAACAGAGATGGTCTAGAAAGGAAAGTATGTCTGCTTTGGGAAGTAGTTTGGACTGATTTATCTAGTTGCTGTCTCTAAGTTCTGCACCTAGTATCTCTGAATTCAGAATTACTGTGGTGGTAGAACGCTTTATTTATGATTACTTTTATCACATTCCTTACTTCTTAAATTATATATTTAAAATGTGGTGGTGCTTAGTCACTGATCCATTTGCAGAACGATGAAGTTATGTTTTATTTATAGGGAAACAAAATTGCAACGTCTTCCTCATACACTGGTCAGAAAGCTGTTCTAAGAATGATAAGATGGAGTCAAAAGCAAACCCAATCTTCACAATAGTTCCTGCTCCTAAGCAAGATAGTTTTAATATTCAAGAATAACCACTGTTCTGTCCTCGGAAGA